GCTCAAACTCCTGGGCGCAAGCAATCTTCCTGCCTTGGCCTCCCAAGTAGGTAGGACTATAGGCACACACCACCATGCCAGCTAATTAAAATGTTTTAAATTTATTTTTGGTAAATGAGTCTTGCTATGTTGCCCATAGGCTTTGTGCTATGTTAAGCTAGTAATTATAGTGAACATTCTTGTCTTGGGTACCTGAGGTTTTTCCATTATGTATACTGGTGGTTACAGATTTTTTGGAATATAACCTTTACCAAAATAAGAAACTTTTGATTCCTGCCTCCTTAACTGTTTTCCAAAAATCACAAATGGATATACTTTACCAAATGTCTTTTATTAATAGACTGAGCAAAGGAAATGACTTTTCTGTCTATGAATATGGTGAATTATAGCAACAATATATTTTATTATATTGAACCACCCTAGTATTCCAAGGATTCCCTATTAGATCTTGATGTATCATTACTAGCATAATCATTATTATTATTGTTATTATTATATATATTTTTAGAGACAGGGTCTTGCTCTGTTGCACAGGCCAAAATGCAGTGGTGCAATCATAGCTTACTGCAGCCTCAAACTCCTGGGTTCAAGTGATCCTCCTGCGTCAGCCTCCCCAGTAGCTGAGACTACAGATGCTCACCACCACACCTGGCTAATTTTTTAATTTTTTGTGGAGACAGGATCTCAGTATGTTGTCCACACTGGTCTTGAACTCCTGGCCTCAGGCAATCCTCTCACCTTGGCCTCCCAGTATTATTATTTGTAATATTGTTGAATTCGGTTCATAAATAATTATTTTGTCTCCCATCTGTGTTTAAGGTGAAACGGGCCTATTATTTTCTTCCCTTGAGTTTTCCACAACTCAATTTTGAATCAAGATTACACTTTCTGATAAAATTAGCTAATCAGGTTTAATCTTTTTTCTATTTTCTGGAAAAAATACATAATATAGAAGTTTCATGTTCCTCAAATGTTTGATAGAACTCATCTGTGAAACCATCTGGGCATTTAAAAAAATATAAATTTTTATTAGAGGTCATTGATAACTTTAAAAATTGCTTTAATACTTACTGGTATAGTCAAGTTTTGTATTCTTCTTGTGCTAATTTTGATAGATGAAATGTTTCTAGGAATTTACCTATCTCACCTAGGTTTTCAAATTTATTAGCATATACTTGTTCATAATACTCTACACTTTCTGTGTCATCTCTGTAGCTGTTCCCCCTTTTTCATTATGTATTTGTTTATTCATTTTTTCTCCCGTTATCCATAATCAGCCTTGTTGTAAGTGAATATCTTACAAATATTTTTAAATAAGCAGCTTTTGGAATCAAAAGTGTGTTAATTTTCATTACCTAGTTTTTTGTTCTCTATTTCTGTTTCATTGCTTTCTATTCTTATCTTTATAACTAACTCCTTTTCTTCTTATTTCTTTAGGTTTGCTCAATTTCTTTTTCCAAAGTTTTGAGTAGAATTTTTAGGTCATTTATTTTAACTTTTCTTGTTCTAATAAATGTATTTGAAATTATAACATTATTTTATATGTATATTTTATGTGTAACATTTTTACCACCTGGTTTAAAAATAGTTAATTTTCTTTATAACTGCTATTTATTTATTTGACACACGGTCCCACTCTGTTGCTGAGGCTGGAGTTCAGTGACGCAATCATGCCTCACTGCAGCCTCCATCTCCCGGACTCCAGCGATCCTCCCATCCACGACTGCCTTTTAAATCCCTGTTACTGATAAATAGATTTGTTCACTTACAATTTTAAGTATATTTTAGTTATCAAGTTCTAATTTTATTACAGTATAGTTGCAGAATATAGTTTGTTTCTTTCCTTTTTTTTTTTTTTTTTTGACAGGGTCTTACTGTGTTGTCCAGGTTGGCGAGCAATGGCACAATCTCAGCTCACTGCAACCTCTGCCTCCAGGGTTCAAGCGATCCTCCCGCCTAGCCTCCTGAGTAGCTGGGACTACAGGTGCACCCCATCCAGCTAAATTTTTTGTAGAGATGGGGTTTTGCCATGTTGCCCAGGCTGGTCTCAAACTCCTGGGCTCTAGGGATCTGCCCACATTGACCTCCCAGAGTGTTGGGATTATAGGCGTGAGCCACTGCTCCTGGCCTAGAATATAGATAGTTTCTAAGATACTGATACTCTGGAATTTATTGGAATTACCTTTATGGAATGATGCATGGCCTATTTGAGTAAATGTTCTGTGTGGCTTGAACTATTACATGTAATTTTTGGCTTTTTGGCAACTTTTAAAAAATGAATCCTATGAATCTTGTACCTCATTTTACTTCCTTCTTTGCTTTCACTATCCTATGGCCCAGAACCAATTATTTTTTATCCATTTATAGTTGGCTGATAAATATGTGTCCTGTTAAACTGGCTCTCAAGAAAAACAATGCTTCTGACTTGTAGCATTACTGATTTCTATAGTATAAATACTTCCACCGTGGTATCAAGTTACCAATAGTTAACAACTGTCTTCAAAAATCCTGAATACTTTACAGTCTGCTCTTGCTAGCCAGTATAAGACAGCACACCACTATTTTTTTTTAAAGATATTCATGTTGTCCATTAGTTTCACTCCTTGGCTTCACTTATTTTTCTTAACCATATTTTCTCTTTGACCCAATGTTGTTTTCGTCTTTTAAAAATTGTTTAAAATTATGTCTGTAAGCTGCTACAAACTTTTTATTGGAATGAAGAGCATTAGAACAGTTATTTGGTCAATGCAGAAGAATGAAGTCTTCTAATTTTTTTTTTTTTTTTGAGATGGAGTTTCGCTCTTGTTGCCCAGGCTGGAGTGCAATGGCGCGATCTTGGCTCACTGCAACCTCTGCCTCCCAGATTCAAGTGATTCTCCCTGCCTCAGCCTCCCAAGTAACTGGGATTACAGACACCACGCCCAGCTAATTTTTGTGGTTTTAGTAGAGAAGGGGTTTCACCATGTTGGCCAGGCTGGTCACGAACTCCTGACCTCAGGTGAACCACCCGCCTTGGCCTTCCAAAGTGCTGGAATTACAGGTGTGAGCCACCACGCCCGGCCGAAGTCTTCTAATATTAAAAGATTTAATCTTCATTCAGTTCTCAAAGTCTTTGCTGTGCCCTTAGGGTATGTCACATGCATGTGCAGCTCAGGGGGAACCTGGTACTCCTGAGGGTTCAGACTCAGAATTAGGGAGTTTCCTCCTGCACTCTCAGTTTGGAGATTCCCCTACACAGCCCCGCCCACAGGGACCCTTTTTCTTGGTTCCTCTGGCCAGAAAGCTGGTATTTCTCTTATTGACTCAGGGCTTGTGCTACCACGTAGTGCAGCTCTGCACCTGAGGCCTGATGTCAGGGCAGAACTGGGAGAAAAAAGGGGAAAACACTGAAAACTCACTCCCCAGGAGGGGCCCCCTCCAAGTTTTGACCCTGTTCACAATCCACCTGCTTTTGTTTACTTTTTGGAGTCCTTGAGTACTTGCTTTTTGTATGCTGCCCAGAATTTCTACCTGTGATCAGCAATAAAAATGGGCTATTAAACTAGTGTTTTAAAATCTCAAATAAGTTAAATATCATGGCTAGAAACACTCCAGGCATTTGTAATTTTAGATTTTTTCTTTACACTCCAGGGGGATGTGACTGTTTTGGAGTATTTTGAATTGAATTGGTATGTTTAGCCTGAGATCCTCCTAGTATTTCTGTTGAATATGCCTGTTGACTGCCCACTTGTTAGCAAAATGGCATTGAATGTTGGAACTGCAAACTACCTTAGAAATCATTCAGCACTATCTTTTGACAGAAAAGGACATGAGAGTTCACTCCCATCACTCAGGAAGTGCAGGGCAAAGATAGAAGCAGAATTCAATTTGTTTTA